AATAATAATAATAATAATAATAATAATAATTAAATAATAATAATAATAATAATAATAATAATAATAATAATAATAATAATAATAATAATAATAATAATAATAATAATAATAATAATAATAATAATAATAATAATAATAATAATAATAATAATAATAATATTAATATTAATATTAATAATAATACTGATAATAGTAGTAATAAATGGTAATAATACTGATAATAATAACACAATTATTAATTATGATTCTTGCGCCTAAAAGCTAATCAATTGCTAAAAAGAAGAAAATGGAAGAGTTGATAAAACATAACTTCTTTAAACCTCTAACATTTAATTGTCGTAAAAATATTGAAATCTATTAGTAAATTTATCAAATTCTAAAAACAAGCATCTATTTAATTGAACAAAAGTGAAAAAGGAGAAAGAAAAAAAGCTAAAGAAGATTAAAAATTAAAAAAACTACTACTAACCCGCGCTTTTATTCAATCAAATTTTATTGGATTTTTGTTTTTTTTGTTTTTTTTCTTGATTTCCATCTATTTAAATAGACTAATCAATTTTAAAATTCATTAGAAATAAAAAATTTCTAGCAAATTTTAAAAATAATTCAAAAACCACAAATCAAAATTAAATTTGAATGGTAAATTTTGAATGTTTTTTGAATAGCATCCTCAATGTAAATGATAAAAATCATTTTGCGACGAGAAAGGAATATGAAGGATTTGCAAAATTTTTATCATTTATGATAATAGTAGTGGTGGAAATGTTCGATGCGGAACGTGTAAAATTAAAAATAAAAAGAAATCATCCTTGACCCTTATTGGAAAATAAAACATTTTCCTGACCTTTTTATGGAATAAATAATTAGGCAAATCTAAAATGACCCTTATTATGAGACCACAAAAATATAACATTCTTCACAGTATGTTTTTTCTTTTTTGCATACATCCAAATTATTGCCAACTATTCCTTCGATGATAAATTTATTTTTGTTTTTTTGATTTTCTATTTTTCTTTTTTTTT